ACCTAGCGGATCCCGGCCTGGTGGTGGACCTAGGTAGGGCACACATGCACATCTAGCGGCCTGCTGCTATTTGCATGAAGGGTTAAACGTCAAACCTCTCATGCGGCAGGCCTCCGTCGGCATCTGGACGTCCACCCTTACCACTTAGCAAACCATCTCAGCCCCACATCCTCCAAACTACACCATCACGGTCAACATCGTACCGCCGTCAATCAGGCGGCGCCGGCAGCAGGATGGCCGGGAAGTTACCTTTCAGACGGAGGCAAGCAAGGGCCAGACCAGGTGCAATCGGGCCTGGAATTGCAACTATCAACAGCAGTGGCCCTGGTATAACTCAAAACGCCATGATTAGCATTCCGCACTCTGCCGGCAACTCCTGTTGCAGGCTATATGGTGCGCAACCGGAACGAGTAGAGACACCGAAGGTGTTGAAGCAGACGGTGACGGAGACAGTTAAAATTATGGGGTTCCCAAATCCCCCCGGATTCACGCCGTCTCCGGATAAAGCGAATTTCAGGCGTGCTACCATCAGGTATGGGATTTATGCATACTGCCACGAGCGTTGGCACGAGCTTTCGTGCTACTGCTCTCTTCCTTGCTTATGGTGCTGTGTTTTGATCGGAAACGCCAACGAATAGACCAACCACCTCCCCGAGCTAACCAACTAGGCAATTCATTCCTTTCCTCATTCATCAATAATTACTTACACCATGGAAATAATTCTCCGTACTTAGCGTCGTAACGCTTAGCCACGACGTCCCAGTCGATCAACTTTTCAATGAAGGTGGTTAGGTAGTCTTCCCGACGGTCCTGGAAGTCGATGTAGTAGGCGTGCTCCCACAAGTCCACGGTAAGGATAGGCTTTAACTCGTCCCGCAAGAGAGGGTTCATGGCGTTCGGCGTCTGGGTGATGCTGAGCTTGCCAGACTTGTCGGAAATGAGCCAGGCCCAGCCCGAGCCAAGTTGGGTCATGCCTGCAGCCTTAAAATCCTCCTTGAACTTGTCAAAGCTGCCGAAATCGCGCGCAATTGCCTTAGCCAGCTCGCCAGTAGGTGCACCACCACCGTTTGGCTTCATGCTCTCCCAGAAAAATGTGTGGTTCCAGGCTTCGGAAACGGCGTTAATGTCCATCGGGCCAGTCCATCTTTTCAGGAGGATCTCCACCAGACTATAGCTGCCGGGGATATACCTGTTAGCGTCATCCACGTAAGCGCGATGGTGCTTGCCCCAGTGCAACTCTAAAGTCTGCTTGCTCATGTGAGGCACCAGGGCATCCAGTGGGTAAGGAGGGGCCTTGAGGCCCACCGTGCCTGAGGCGGCCAAGGAGCGGCGACCCGAGACAGGGCGCAGGCGACGAAAGCCCGCAATAAGGCTTGAGGCCTGGACCTTCATAAAAAGAGCCATTTTGAAGTATTTAAATTGTCAAGCAAGTTGATGTTGTATACTTCAGACGAGGTTTGGGAAATAATTCTGTGTGCGGAGGAATTCCGAGAACCGCCCAGTACGGCGAATCCAACCATCGAAAAGCTGGGGCAAGGTAGCTTCGCTGAGCTGAGCATCAGGAATTTCGGTTTGGATTTTAAACTGTTGAGCTTACACCTTCGTTGAGTGGATCTCCTGGGATGATGCTCCGCAACCTTCAATTCTTTCCCTGACATTCCAGTTCTATGTCTCGGAGGATCGCCTTTACTACACCGGAAATGAGAATAATGCCACGAGGGTTCGGTACATCTGTCTCGATCGCGTTCCCGTACGACTATTACCACACAGCCGGACTCCCCGGAAAGGATGGGTGGGGACGGTACCCGACATAGGCATCGCCCTGGTCGATCCCGTGTTAGTCTGCGGAAAAATGTTTCGCCTTTTATTGCCTTCCATCCTTGATTGATACATATCAGGGCTCCGGGATCAGCTAAGCTCTGACGGGGCGCAAATTGTTCGAAAATATTGTCCCGTACAGCCGTCTCCTGCGTCACCCGCACCATCTCTCTCCCTTTGCGAATCCAACGCACACGTAAGCACATTCCCCCTCGCCACCTACGGAAATCCCTTAGCCGAAATTGCCAAGCTACTCTTGCACATGGCCACTCACCACGTGCAGAAGTGCGCATGCATTAAAACTTCCAAAAGAACCTCTGGCGTGCGGCCATGTAAATGAGCATCTCATGTATATCTTCACAACAGCAACAAAAGCCAAAAAAATGCAAGTTATCGGCCCAGCCTTCCATGACGACGCTCTGGCTGCGGGTGCTGCGGGAGACGTGGTACCACTGCTTCAAGCACACGCTGCGCGCTAGCAACTTGCGGAACCAACAAGGGGTGAGCTACGGGGGCAGCCATGGGGATCAATAAATATCCATACAGGGTACGGAACAAAGTGGCAACCAGAACCAGCCGCCTACCTGACCACCCAAACACGCGCCCTCGCCTGGGGAAATGCGACTCCGTCGCCGCCTCTACCACTACCTCCCGCAGCTGCATCTGACCTCCAAGGTCATGGCCGAGAATGTCGCCCTCCGGGAGAGCGTGCGCGACCTGGCGGCCAAGGCACAGGGCTTCGACAGCGAGTACTGGAGGTAAGGTGTTAAGGTCTCAACACAGCAGAGCTCTGTCTGGGTAATACTGTATGGAGTCCGTGAGGATGGCATAGGGCTATTCGGGACGGGCAACGAATTTGATCGCGTTCTGGTTTGGTTTTCATCTTTCCTACTCGCCGATACTGCCAAATGGACTTGGCTTGGCAGAGTGGTAGCGGAAATGGCAGGCAGCGATTATGATGTCGCCATCACCCCATCCTTCTGGCACTCTTCCGGCACCCTTCCGAACCCCAGGCAGTGGCTGGAGGAGAAGGCCCGCAGTCGCTACTTAGAGCAGCGCAACGCGGACACGGCCATTTACGAGGTGGAGGTCAAGACCGGCAAGATGAAGGTATGGATCTTGCCTTCTCCCCTCTCCCCGCCTCCCACACCTTGCCCGAAACCCCTTTCCCTCCTTCACTCGTCTGCGGTTCGTCTTCGTCTTCCCCCTTTCCCGCGACCAGGGCGCCTCCACCGATGCGCGCGTGTACCTGGAGATGTACGACCCCCACGAGGAGGGGCATACCTCCGGGGAGCTGCGACTGCTGGACAAGGACACGCACGTCAAGCCATTTGGCCGGGGTGCACTGGACCTCTTCCTGGTATGCTGCGGGACCCGCCGGGGGAAGGGGAAACCTGCAGTACATGGTGCTACCAAACTCAACGAGACAGCTGCCGACGTCCAACTGCCGACGTTCCCCAGCGTGTCGCCGCAGGGGAGGAGGCCGAGAGAGGGCGGGAGGGAGAGAATGGGCCATGGGTTGCTTCTGTGGTGTGGGTCTGGGACTAGGAAAAGAAAGGTTGGGGTGGGGATGGGATGTTAGGGCGTGGCCTGGAGCGTGGCTTGAGGAGTGAGTTTGGGTTTGTGATTGAATGGGGGGCCGGGGATGGAGAGGAAACGTATGGGCGAGGTGATTCGAATGAGGCCCGGATGCAAATCAGCATGCAAACGGCTGGAGATGATGGAGGCGGTTTGTGGCGTGACCTGCGCGCACCACTTCCCCCCGAACTTAACTTGCTCGGAGCATATTTCGGCTGTCCTGTTAACACACCTGGCGAAACCTGGTAGCTTTCAGAAAATCACGAACCACCACCACCACCGCCAAGAATATAACATTAAAAAACAACATAAAAAACAACACCCGCAGATTCCCTGTCGCAACGTGGGCTTGCCTAAGCGCATCAAGGTGTGGCACGACAACACCGGCCGCCGTCCCGACTGGTTCCTGGAGTACATCCGCATCCGCAAGAAGGGCGCCATCAACTGGACCGTGTTTCCCTGCCAGCGCTGGTTCTCCACACACCTGGACGACTGCCGGATCAGCCGAATACTTTTCGCAGGACATGCGACGCCCTACATCCAGTACAAGGTGATTGGACTTGCGCGTGATTGGGCGTCTCCCTATGTGCTTGTGTGCGTGTATGTATCTCTGCGGGTTGGATGCGTGGCTGTCTTTATGAGCTCATAGACATGTGGACGCACTCTGCTCCGCCTAATTGCCTCCTTACGTTCCTGCCTGCTTTGCCGCTGTACCGTCCACTTCTGTATGTGTGTGCTCGTGTGCGGATTGTCTTATTTTCACACCCCTTCCACTCCCGACCCCTACATCCCGGGCCCTCCAGAGCAACACCGGCCCCTCCCTGGCCAACGCGGGCACGCTGGCAGACGGCACCGCCACTGCCCATGTAACCGTGTCCCCGCGGGAGGGGCTGCTGGACCCAGCCGCCGCTGCGGGCCTGGCTCGCAAGCTGGCGGGGGGGGCAGGGGGCGGCGGCAAGATCACTTTGCACACCAGCAACGTGTGTATGGCGGGCACGGGCGCCGGTGTGTTTTTCGAGCTGATTGGGGAGTACGGCTCCTCAGGTAGGTGGGCGGGGGATTTGAGGAAGGGGAGGGAGGGGGCTGGGGCCCAGAGAGCATGTCGACATAGCCGTTTCGATGCGCTGTAGTGGAGATACAATGCTTGTGGGGTGGGCAGGCGGCCTGGCCGAGTGGGATATTATTCATAGTTAAAATTATCAAGTATCAGTCATAATAAATATTTTATATGAAATTATATACTTATAATTCATGATAATATTATGAGTAAGAGCTGCGAGGAAGTGAGAATGAAGGATGTGGGTATTAATTTGACATGAAATTGGACAAGAAGTAGGTAATAATATATAATTCCGAAGCCGAATGAAGAAATGCTGATGTTCCCTACTTGACTTTATTTACGTATGTGCCTGACGGCGCTTTTTTTGCTCCATGTGCTGCTTCCGAGCCTTATGTTAGCCAGGGCAGCTACTGCCGTGGGCTTATAATGAGTATTGAATAGCGTCTTGTGATGCGCGCGTGAGTGTATATATGTGTGTGAATGTGTACGAATGTATATATGTATGTATGTATGTATGCTGTCGTGCTGCTTGGTACGTGTGTGGGCGATAGACGCCAATGGCACTGCTGGAGGCAGCGGGGGTAGTGGCGACGGTGGGCTGTTAGCGGTAATAAGGGGTATATAGACGCGCGCGTGTGTGTGTATGTGTGTGTGGGTGTGAAAAAAACATTCGGAGTTGTGTCGGCGATTGAAAAGCGACTGCTAGCAGCGGCTGACTGGCTGCGACGTACAGATATAATATCTTGCTGATATCACTTAGGCGGCCGAGCCACTACGAGGTGCCACTAGGAGCGAAAATGGAGAGGGGGAGAGGCGAGAGAGGGAAAGGCGTGTGTCGCAATTCTCGGTACAAGGTATTCAACCACGCAGAGGGCTCAACCTGTCTAGAGTATGGCTTGGCCATGCTTTCGGTCGAGTGCTAGGTTAATATATAGTTTGCAAGGCCGCGGCGGGCGCCGAGCGAGGTGCTAAGGACTTGACGGCTGGAGGCGGATAGCCTGCCGTTCCCCTCTCGCGTTCCTCTTCGTTCATATTTATGGACTTTAGCATAGGTATTTTTTCCTTTTACAAGGCCCTGACACTTGGCTAGGGACTCGATTTTTGCTGCTGCGTTGATCTTTTCAACATACGGGACAAACATTGTCGTAAAATACACAGTTTACGATTTGGACATTCAAGTATGTTTCATGTTTTGCGGGCTTCTTCGAGTAGACTATATAACCTACATCACGGAGTACTCAAAACTACTTGTTTTGACAATAGGGGATTAGGCCACGGTGCGGAGATTTTCAGTGCGCCGAGTCATCGGCAGGCGCTCATGCTGCCATCCCATCGACTCATGTAAATACACGAAATTCGCAAAGTAATTACACAACCCAAACCTTCGTTATCTTTTTTTAATACACGTACACACGAGGTCAAAAATGCTGCAAACTGTAAAATGCTTCCAAAGCCTGAATTTCCTGCAGCAGGCAGCAGCAACAGCAATAGGGCAGCCGGCAGCCATCCTCTGCGCCTGTGCGCCAGCCACCAGCGCCGCAGTCGCTGCTCTCTGCTGCTCCGGACCCGAGCAACTACTGCCGCCTGCGCCTGCGGTCCAGCCTACGCGAAATGGCATCGCTGCCGCGAATAGCCATGCGGTCGGCAAGAACGGCAGGACAGCGAGTCGCCCAGTTTCAGCACAACTGGTCGCCCAAGCCAGTGTAATTCATCAGCCAGGTACCTTTCCTTTGCTGCACCCGGCTGACTTCCATCAGCTGCAAGCTAGCAGTCCAAGGCCAATGACGCTGGGCCGTGCAGCAGCGAGCTTTGGCCTCCCCTTTCCTGGTCGCGCCAGCGGCCTGGTGCGACCCGTGGGTCACCCAGGTACAAGCTCTAACGCTGGCACCTGCAGGTAAGATTTCTTTCGAATGCTGTTTGGCCTTCTCTTGCTGTGTGGATTTTAAGT